AATGTTCTTGTAAATTAACGATATGTTTTGTAATCAAAATTTCTTTTAATGTGTTGAAAATTTATCACGAGACTCCAATCTTGTTCGTCGATAAATTTCAAGTCGATAATTTTACATTTTAAAATTGTAATTTTACGACAAGCTTCGTAGAAATTTTTCGCGTAAAACCTACAACTCTACGTAGTGGGGCTGCTTTCTGCTTTGCGAGGGTGTTGCCGTTGCAGGGCTGGTGCTACCGCTGCCCTTTTGTTCGTCGCCCGTCGCCAAGCAGACCGCACGAGTAGTATACGTACCGACTGCGGAGGATGAGATTGGTGACGCCCTCCTCCCTGCGCTTGCGCCCCCCTTTCCTACCCCTTCCCCTCCCGATCCGCCCCCCCCCCTTTCTGCTGCAAACATGAATGATGGCTTTATCTCGTCACAACACGGCGGCGCACACACAATACACCAAGCTTCCTGTTGCCAACCTGTGCGTGTGTCTGCGTGTGTGTATATGAGGGCTTGTATTAGTAGTAATCAAAGGAAATTCCGAGGTCGTGGTGTGCGATGAGGGGGGTGGGGGGTGAGGGTGCATCGTCTCTGTTCACCCATGTATTCCGACCGAGGTAAACTCCCTCCGGTACCGCTGTGTTTGTCGTGTCAGCGTCGGGGAACTAAAACCGGGGCTGAGCCCCCTCGGGTTACCATCGGGTGAGGGCGGAAAGGGGGGGACCGCTTATCTTAATGCCAACGGTTTAAAGAGAGAAACTCAAATACCCCAGGCACCTCACACGACACTCTTACCGGAGAGTTTCGTGGGAAAATATTTTTGAACGAAAATAAAAAAAAATGCTACAAACGCCCAGAAGAAGATAAACCGCCAACAACTAGCCGATGCTGTACCGCGAGGCGTGCGTGCCACGCGGGTCTGCCTACCCGACACTCGCCAGGGGCTCTCGAGGACGCCCCCGACCGGACCAACATCAGTCGCTCGCTTGCTGCTGTTGTTTGCCGGCGCCCACTGCTTTTTTCTGTTTCTATGCCCCGTCACATCACATCGGGCGGCAGGGGGTCGGCGTGGGGTCGGCGTGGGGCCTCCTGTATGTATCTCGGGCAAAGAGACCGCGACGTGCTGTGTTGTGTGAGGACGCACGGCGCGGGCCGGCCGCGCCCACGGCCCTGCAGAGGGGCAGGGGCAGAGCAGGACGTGAGCACGGCAACAGGACGTTTGTTCCACCCCAACAGTAGCGCTGCCGCTGCTGCTGTTGCCGAGTTGGATCGGACGACCGAACTTTTTCTCGAAAGTTTTGCCGAGACGACGCGCGGCGCGGCGCTTTGTATGCCGAGCCCTGATGTCAACTCGCGCGCGCGCGGCTCCAGGATCGCGTACATACGGAACGAGGCTGGAATTTGACAACAACAAAGTGAAGCGAGCAGGGGGAGCTTTAGGAGGCATCGCGATTCAAAGTTGGCGCGCGCTCGCTTGCCACCCTGATATCTGATGGCTGCGGCTATCGTGCCAGTAGGTCGTGTGTCGTCTGGCTGCTTCGCTAGAGACGATACTCTTTAGATGCTTCTTCGACGGCAAGCCGGAAAGTGTCTTGTTTCTTCCTCCGGGTGGGGTTGTCAGTCAGGGGTCGTGTAGAGGGGTCGGGTCGTAGGTCGGGCTAGTTCGGCAGGACGACGCGCCCGGCGCCCGCCCACTACATAGGGGTACACAGCCACGGGGGTACAGCCCCTGGGTAAAAGGGCCTGGCGATAGGCTGCTGAAGCCGAAGCCCCGGGCCTGGCGCGGCTCGGCGGAGAAGAACACAAGGACAAGAAGGGGGGGGGGAGACGAAGGGCCAACTATTTGAGAGTGAACGCGACTGTCCTGCTTGCCGCGCGTGAGTGTGCGAGTGTGCACGTGGTCGCGGGGGGAGAGGGGCGGTGGCGGGAGGGCAGCAGCCGCGTCTAGCCGCGGTCTGCGCTGCGGGCTGTGCTGCCGCGGGACGGGGGCCCACCGCGCTCTTTAGTATCTTGCAGTGTGTCGTGCCCAGACAAGCGTGGTGCCCCCCGCTGTCAGCAGACGACCCAGCCCCGCCGCGGATCGGCCAGGCGGTGGAGCTCTTCCCGCTGTCCGTCCCGCTGTCCGTCCGTCCCTGCTGCCGAGTCAGGCGGACAGGCGGCCGAGTGACCTTCCCTTCCGGCCAGGCCAGCCGTGCTGCTGTCGCACCGAGGCCGCGGCACAGTGGCAGTGGCCTACACCGAACCCGACCCCTTGCCCGGCCGACGAGCCCGCCCGCCGCCGCAGAGTACAGCCCCGAGAGCCGCCCCCGCCGCCCGTGGGCCGGGCTGACAGGGGTGTCCGGTGGTCGGCGCTCAGGCCGGTGAGTACACTACTCTCAGTCGAGTGTGCGACTGCCACAGCCGCCCCGCGAACCTTTTATACTTGTTCCCTTGCCTCCTTCGCGCCCCCTCATGCCTTATTGCTTCTTCATTACTGTTTTCTGTTTCCAAACTGTTTTAGAAAATTAGAGAGAGTGTTGTTTTAATTTCTAAAGTAGATGGCGAAAAAATGGATTGGCATAAATACGCCTTCTGCTCGAAGACAAAGCCAATTTCGAGCCCCGCGTTCCGTTTTCGGGCTGCTGCGTTGGGATATCGCGGATCATGCAATTTGGGAGGCCATTTCCGCCGGCCCCGTCGCGTCCCGCCGCGTGGGGGAGGAAATTGTCCCTTCTGCTGTCCCTTCCAGGAGTGCGCGCGGCTCAAGCAGCAGTGGCAGCAAGAGGAGAGCCGCCGCCGGGGGGTTGAAATAAGGAGTGGAGGGGCGAGTGAAGAAGTTTGCTCGCGTACTTAGCGCCCCTCCCGGTTTACGTCCACGTTTGCTCTCTCGCCGCGTCAGCGAGACG